CTATGATTCTATGATTCTGTGATCATAACCATAAAAGTAAGCATGAATTCAACTTTTTATGCCCCTGAAATTAATCTTTTTTCTTTTAAGCAATTATCAGCAGTAACTGCCAATACCCACTCAGTGCTATTCACCTAGAAATAGGCCAGACTGCCAACATATTTTAATGAATACATTTTTTAAAAACATTCCTGAATGTATGAAGTGTAAGTGCTAAAAGTAAATAGAAAGTGATAAAATTAAATAGAATAATTTAATAATTCAATAATCAGTAATATATGATTTTTCATAGTTTGCTACATGTTGTATACACCATATCCTTGATATAAACCATTTTATCAGTCTTATCAATGATGACAGATTGCAGTTTTCTGCTTCTGTCAAAGAATGAATTGAAATTATTCAATGAGACACCCCAGACAAAACAAAGACCCATTTCTTTGAGATTTATGCATTTGATTTTACCTTCATTGTCCCTTAGAGTAAAGTTGGGATTCCAAGAAAGTGCTTCATCAAGGGAAAAGTGGAATCTTGCCCCATTTGCAGAATTATCTTTGTCAGTTGCAGTGATAGTCTGAATTACCTGGAATAGAAATTAACCGTCAGTGTCTTGAAATTGGAATTTGACACAAATAGTGTCTGACCTCAGCAGGATGCTCAAACTTAGCTTATTTTAATTTTCTACTTGACTGCTGCTAAATTCAACTGATGAAATGACTGGGCCATTAGCTTGATTCCTCTAGCATGAAATATTTCAGGAATAACACTTCAGAGCTATATTAAAACATCTTATGTTTCTATACTTCCTGATATTCTGATATGGTCAGGACCTGGTACAGAGATTTTCACAATCTGCACTGAATCCTGGTGACTTTCAGAATTACAGTTTCACCTAAACATCTGGTTTTATGGAGCCAAAATTCAGGCTGAATCATGGTGGTCTATGTGGAGCATCATCTACTGGCCATCCCAATAATTAGGTGCAATTATTCAATATTGGTTAGGAAAAATAATTATTTAACCAAAATGGCAGGTACATAATACCAGCCCTCTGTTTAGAATTTCTTTCAAGAATCAGTTTTAAGCTACCAGAGAAGAGAACAGGTTTTAGTTTGGTTTGCCCAAAAAGCAACAGAATTAGTATTAGCAACCACGTATGGGAGAGGCATTTTTGAAAGGTAGGACTTTTGCCTTTGAAAGCCCTGGTGATTTTTAAAATTTACTTTCAACTAAAGCTGAGCTAAGCTTTTGGAAAGTGTGACCAAGCAATATTTCTGCCTCTGCTTTCATTTTCATGATGGGTCTGGAGGCTCAAGTGCTAAAGTAGAATTTAATAAAAGTTGTTCTTGTGGTACAGGCAGTGAAGCCCACACAGGCTGCTGCACAGAGCTGATAGATATCCTGAGGGGAATGTAAAAGGGGGAGGGAAAGTGCTCTTTTAATGAGAATTTTTCTGTTCAGTGTTCAGCTGTAGTCTGTCTGGACTGAACCTGAAGCATAAACAGTGCAGGCTTAAGTGGTTTGTCTGTTTTAAAACTAAAAGCACATAGTTCTCTTCCTCCATTCACATAAGAGAAGCAAACCAAATATATTTTAAAGGCAACAGAACATCATTATTCCATTGACTATATAAAATATAGTAGTACATTATATTGGTTATACACAACTAAGACAACTAACAACACTGATGATAATTGCTGAGAATATTTTAAGATTGTTAGAATATTTTTTTGCTGAACTGTAGCAGAATAAGATCAATCTGAAACATCTATAATCATGAAGTTTACCAAAGTTGTGGCAATATTAGTGAAAAAGTTTGGCAAAAGCTAATTGTTCTCTATTGCATTTTGCTAAGGTGGCAGATCTGTTATTGAAACAACTACCATGTAAAAACAGAAAGGTAAGATTATCTTAGCTAGATGTATTTAGTTAATAATGTTGAAATGGTATGAGGCAATGCAAGACAAAACAAAAGTTGATGGAAGAATATTTCAAAAGAAGTAGTTTCTGTTATTACTCAAATACTAAAAACTGTTCAATACCAAACATAGGTGCAAAATATTCAGATAAGATCTTAAAAATAGGAATTTATTAAATGTTGTTTATACATTCTCAGTGCCATTTATCAGGGCAATGTAAGTCATTTTGCCATGCAGCCTCAGATTTTATATGACAGCCTAGTAGATAAACTTTCATCCTGTTGTCCTTAATTATATAAAACATTCAGTGATTTTTTTTACAGACTCTGCCTTCAAGAATCTGCCATTTTGCAATAAAAATAGCTTTGGTCAAGGCATCAGTGCCACAGTATCAAATTTATTTGTTTTTAAGACTAATTTTAAAACTTGACAAAATATACTGTTGACATTCCCTGATTTCACACATGGAAATTCAAGCATCCCTTGAATTCACCAACGTATGTAAAAAGTATAGCTCCAGATGGTATAGCAATCGTGCTTTTCCATGTGGAAAATAAACACTGTATGAGTAAGAGGACAGGTCAAAATTTTTTTGACAGAATTTTTAAACAGCAAGTTGACACCCTTTCAGAAAAGTCTCTTGCTTTCTAAGGAAAAAGTTTCCTTAGGTGAGGACCAAAACTGTGTGGCCTTGACACCCAAATGTACTGTTAACCCTTTTCTAATTAATAGGCCAACTAATTAATGGCCTATTAGCAAACATTAACATGCACCTTACCAAAGCTGAGTAAATAAAAAGTACCTCAGCTGCTGTACAGCTCACTTGACAGCAGTAAAGCAACAAAACTGATGGGTTATGCTATTTTTTTAATGGCAAGACTTGGCAAGAAATTAAAGAATTTCTACAACAGAGAAGAACTGAGGAGGCTAGAGAGCAGGTGCTAAGTTCTGCTTAGATCCTTTTCAGAACTGAATCAATAAACAAGTAAATATATACAGGACAAACTTACAGCAGAGGCATTCCTTGCCCACTAACATTGATTTCCTTCGACTATTAGAGATAAAAATATCAAGGGTGAGGTAGCTCATGTTGACAGGAAAATATTTATACAACCCGATTCTGGGAAAGTTCTTTGTGTGTTTGTGTGCACATACACACACCTGTATGTTAATTTACAGTGATAGGTATTGTCAGAAAAATGACATTTCACTACTCTCACAACCTTCTATTATTCCTCTGAAAAGTACCCAGAAAAAATGTTATCTTTGGAAAGCTACAGTGAATATGACTAGCAGATCTAGTCAGATATTTTGATAGGTTCATACCTTGCTAGGGCAAACAGTAAACTAGGAAACTTTCAGAAAACTCTTAACACTTCACTCCTTCACTTTCCAGGACAAAGCTTTTAAACTTTTACATCACTATTTCCTCCCATTGTCTTACTAATAATACGACAAGTTGTATTTGAAGCAAAGGAAGATTCCATTTGTAAGTTCACTTTGTGGAAGATTGCAAAAATTTCACTTTCCTACTGTAGTGGAAACCACCCAACTGGGAATCAAGCACCATGGGGTTGCTCACTAACTCCCACCCCCAAAATACGAAGGAGAAAAGGGAGAAAAATACAAAATCCCATGAGCTGAGATAAGAAGAATGTAACACAACAATGCAAAAGGAGCAATAAACAACAGAAAGAGCAATAAGAGTAATGAAACAATAGAAAAGCAAGTGGTATAAATCACAGATCACATCAGCTCTGAGTCACCAGTGCCACCCCTAGTCATCGGTATCATCCTAACCTGCTCCCAGCCCTTATGCCACAGAGATCAACACGGGATCAAATAACCTATCAGCTGGTTCAGCTGTCTATCCTGGCTGTACCCTACCAACGTCTAGTGGAAATTAACCCCATCTTAGCCAAATCAGGACACCTACATTAACTAAATTCCACAATCACATGCTTTATCTACTTTAATATGTAATATCTACCAGGCTTCATCTGGAAGTTGCTGGAAATACTTGGTTTATCTTCTCAGCAAGGTGACTTAAGGGATTATAGCTATCACTTCAATGTGGAAATGATCATCTTCTCACAAATATTTTCTGTTTGATATACCTTAGGGTGGTTGATTCAAGCACTTAAGTACTTAAGTCTTATTTGGTTTCATTTTTGGTTTTTAAGAAAATAAATTGAACTGTGGAGGGAAAAAGAAGCAGGAGACAAAGGCTGTGCAATTAAATGATACTATGGTTTCTCTCTATAGAATCCCCTTCTGAAAATAAAAAAGCAAACACACAAAGTCTTCCAATGACAAACCATTGCAGGATCCTGCACATATAAATTCAAAATAAATGTGATGAAGAAGGAAATAAGGACTCTTACAGGGCAGTGCAGGGCCGTAGCCCAATCTCAAATCACTAGTCCAGCAGAAGTGCCCAGCAGTACCTGACAGGATTTGTTCTTCAGTGATAAATCTTATTAATCATTCTCACATGATGGATACTCATGAGTAAATACTGACTTTTCAGTGATTCAAAACCATCCAGCTGGGCATGCTTTTTACACAGAGAACACTTGTCTTGTTCCGTAAGTGTTGTTTATTTGTCCCGTCTTAATATTTGTTGAACACTGTCATTTTGTTTCTTAAATTAGACATTAAGATCTTCTGAGTAAAAGCCACATATTTTTGTGGTTTAGTTTTTTTGTTTTGTTTTGTTTTGTTTTTTTACTTTTGTTTTTTGTACAGTGCAAAGGTATCACAGTGTTTTCTGAAGCCTTGTTCTGCAATGCAAATAAAAATCAACGCATGTCATGTACATAACGGAGTCCTGTAGCCTTTCATATTAAACTACCGCGTGTAGAGTTCTTCATGGTAGCAGTACTCTTGGATGTTGAACTGCAGTGCTACAGAGGTCAGGAGTCATTCATGCTTGCAGCAGTAGCTCAGAGAGAAATACAACCCTGACCCAAATCAGGAGCAAATGCTGTTACAGTAAAACTTACTTTATCCTTTCAACATCTCTCACATAAATTTCCATTTGCAAAGCTACTGTTGGAGATTTAAAACTTTGGTAATAAGAAACATTAGCTACTCACCAACACCGATACACTTAGCAAAGAGAGCATTTCTGAGCCAACTCCAGTGTCCTTTATCTTATTATTAATTATAACAATTTAAAGATTATTGTTATATTATATAATTTCTAAAATATCAGAATATGTTGAAAGCAATTGCATTAATGCTAAGAAATCTTATCTTTTTTTAAAAAAAACTAGTCTTCTACAAGTTCTAATTTTCTCCTGTATTGGCTTCATCTGAAGTTTTCAGAACATTACTTTTATTTTAATAAGCATGTTAGTAAGAGACATTCAGTCTGTAGACAGGCCTGCTCAGATCTTCAAAGGCTTTGAGTAAGTTGTCTCAATAAGAGCATTGAAGAAAATTGAGATGAGGGAAGCTCCACACACAATTAATTGCTCAGAAGACAGGAAACAGGGTCTCTTCAGTAAATAAGCTATTCCACAAGAAGAGAAAGTCACAGACATTTCCTATTCCACATGTATTTATACTGGGCCACTTGTTGGTCAGTGTAATAATAAATATCTTAAAAAGTATGAATAATCAGCCCAGCAAATCTACTTATGATACTGAGTTGTCCAGGGAAGAAAAGAAGGGCTGGCACTAAAGATCTTCCAATACTCAGTAGCCAGGCAATACAAAGACAGCTGAAATTCATTATATATAGAAATAAAGTCTTAACTTCACATACATGACGATGCTCTCTGAGCTAACCATTACTTCTCAAGCTATTGGTGTTATGGTAGGCAGTTATCTGCATTCAGTGCTTACTTGTGGTTAAAAAGCACAGCCACTGTTAAAAATTGCTAGGAAAGGAATAGAGAAGAAAGCAGAAACCATCATATACTATACAGTACAACCTATGGTAAAAATTATAAACCACTGCATAGCTGCATTTTTGATTTCCCATCTCAAGGTGAAAGGAATTGGGCAAAGTTTAGAGGAGGACAAGATGAATGGTCAAAAGTCTAGAAGGGATTTATCACAGTTTGTCCAAGATAAGTAGGACTCTTCAGTCTGGACAAGAGACAGCTGAGGGGAAGTGTGCTAGAGATTTATGAATGGCACAGAGATAATAAATAGGGATCAAATGCTCACTTTCATTCTCCCAACACAAGAACTAGTAAATATCAATTGAAGACAGCATGGGAAGATTTAAAAAAAAAGAAGAGAAAAAAAGAAAAAAAAAGAAAGTGATAGCTCTTCCTGAAACTTGATATCAACAAACATAAGCATAAAAGCTTATGTTTGTTGCAGGAGAAGCTAGACAGTTTCATATGAGATGGTTATTAAAGGTTTATTAAAAATACAGAAACCACATTTGGTTTGGGATCAGGAAATGATCTGCAAATGACCTGCAAGCAGGAAAGTACTTTGATACTTACTTTTGTGGTACATATTTGCCATATTGTTATACTGCTTTTTAGTTGTCACCTTCTGGCCACTGTTAGAGTCAAGATGAATTTGATTGCCTATAGTCTGGTGAAGTACAGCATTTTTATAGTCTCACCATTAAAAATACAAATACGCCACTATGCTTTTATGTACACTGCTTTCAAAGACTTGATGAGAAACTGTTATTACTAGTAATCTATTCCTCGGGAAAGATCAGAGCTCCCAGCTGCAACTTAGAACCTGTGTAATAACACAAAACCAGCATAGAGGGCTGGGTGAAAGCTCAATGTATGCAAAAAAGCCAAGGTCCTTGGCAAAATTTTCAAATCATGGACTGCAATGAAGTGCATTGATCATAGGAGCAGTGACTGGAATGTGATTCAGCTACTCAGTCTCAGTTCTGATCCTCCTTGTGTTCCTAGTTCTGAAAAACCTTTTTGATATCTTTTCCATAAAGGACCTGCACAGACAAGAGCAATCAACATGTAAAAAGTGAGAATGGCAAACATGTTAACCAGCCATTCCACTGAGCTGTGTTTGAAACCTTGCTACCATGTGGCACTTAAATGAAAGATGTTACATCTGCGTCATCCATTTTGTTCAGTGGCTTGTCATACTGCATCACTTAACTGACAAGATTAAAGATTTGCCTGTCTTAACTGAAGATAGTCTGGGTATTTCTTTTGCAGCAACAAGAAGGATATCTTGAACAAATTCCTAAATCTTCTCCCTTCAGCCTAACACAGCTTAAAAGCTATTCAACTGTGAGATTGCTGAAAATAAAATGAGAAATAATTAGGACATGTTCCACAAATTAAAATTCTTACACAGGTGGCATTAACAAATAAAGTAATTCTTTCTTACTGAGAGAAAGATAATTATGAGAGTTACCTGACCAGGCTTTGCATTCTCACAGACAACAACATCATACTCTCTGGCAAGCTCTGGAGGGTTGTCATTGACATCCAGGATTCTAACAACAACTGGAACATGGCTCACTAGCCCAGGATTGTCTGTAAAATAGACAAGTATTCCACAAGAGTGTTAAATATGGTGTGAGTCTTAAGTTACTGTTATATCATATCAATAAAAATGCAAGTTACTCTGGAATTGAAGTGGGAGAGAGCTGAGTTATCACATATTGTCACATTGTATGCTAAGAAATGACCAATTGTTTTGCAATAATGTGAAAATGTCATCACAGTATTGAATAAAATCTAATATGGAAAATATTAGAAACTTTTTCTTAGTCCTTTAAAGAGTTTAGGAAATAAAATGCCAAAAAAAAAAGAAAATATGAATGCATAGGTACATATAAACCTTTCCCAAGATTGAGTTCAGCTTCCTCACAAGTTGTTATAGTATTAAAAAAAATAGTTAACGAGTCTTGCTTTAGCAGCGTCATACCAGTGAGAAAACAATGTTTCAGTAACAGTGTTTTCCACTATGATTGGTACTTACGTAAGAGCTTGCCCTCAAAAAGAATTCACCCTCAAAAATCACAATAAACAGAATCCTTTCAATGAGAATACACTTTCCATAATAAAGTGGGAGGGAAATACTTTTTAGTCCATAAATCCCTTGTTCTTACTGTTAAGTACTAAGAAAAGTTCATTTTACTGAAAGAATTATACATTAAATTTTTTTAGAAAACTTTTTTATATAAATATCCAGAGAAGGGCAATGATGCTGGTCTGCGGATCATGTCTTATGAAGAGTGGCTGAGGGAATTGGGATTGTTTAGCTTGGAAAAGAGGAGGCTGAGGGCAGACTTTACTGCACTCTACAACTACATGAAAGATGGTTGCAGTGAGGTGGGTGTTGGTCTCTTCCCCCAAGTAACTAGTGGCAGGATGAGAGGAAATGGGCTTAAGTTATGCCAGGGGAGATTTAGACTGGATATTAGGAGGAATTTCTTTACTGAAAGAGCAGTGAAGCACAGGAACAGGCTGCCCAGAGAAGTGGTGGGGTCACCATCCCTGGTGGTGCTCAAAAAAACATGTGGATGTTGTATGTCAAGACGTGATTTAGTCGTTGTGGTAGTTTTGGGATGACAGTTCAACTTGATCTTAGAGGTCTTTTCTAAACTTAATGATTCTATTATTTTATAATTAGCTAAAATATACCTTCTGAAGTCTGTATAAATATTGGTTCATTAAATGACAGACTTCATTTTACTTTCACCAATTAAATGAAGCTATCAGCAGAAGATAGCAAAGTCAATTTTTCAAAGACAACAAGATGGAAGAATGGGGAATGACTAACATTTTAAAAGTGCATGTCCCTGTGGTTTCTCATGAGAAGGAAAAAAGAAAGAGAAACAATAGTAGTTTAAACTACTAATAACAGAATCATAGAATGTTTTGGATTGGGAGGGACCTTAAAAATCATCTAGTTTCAGGCCCTTCTGACACAGGCAGGGACAACTCCCACTAGACCAGGTTGTGCAAGGCCCCATCCAACTAGGTTTTGAACACATCAAGTGATGGAGCATCCACAAGTTCCCTGGGCAGCCTGTTCCAGGGTCTCACCAACCGCAGAGTGAAGAATTTCTTCCTTATATCTAATCAAAATGTACCCTCTTCCACTTTGAATCCATTATCCCTTCTCCTATTCACTATAAGCCCTTGTAAAAAGTTGCTCTCCAGCTTTCTTGTAGGCTCCCTTCAGACACTAGAAGGCCACAATAAGGTCTTCTCAGAGCCTTCTCTTCTCCAGGCTGAATAACCCAGACTCTCTCAGCCTGTCCTCATAGAAGAGGTGACTTTCAGATAATCACAGGATCACTGAAAGATTCTAACTGAAAAGGACTTCTGGAGTTCATTGTTGCAGTCTCCAGCTCAAAGTAGGTCCCATCTTCAAAGCTATGAGGGCATAAAACATCTAAGAGGAAGGGAGCAAAAAAGCAGGAAGAACACAGGACAGAGGGTACTAAAGAGAGGGAACGCATTCTACTCTGTTAAATTAGCATACTATCATAGAGATTTAATGGAGATTCAGTGAGTTACCTTTATTTGTTCTGCGGCTGCATCGCATTACAAAGAATTAAATATCTTAGCAGTTGAAAAGAGTCCTTAATGGATAAGTTAGTATTAGAATCGATGTAAACAATGACCTCATGGGATGATTGGCGTTTGAAGGCAAATTTCAATATTGACAACCTACTCACTACAAAATGCTGGTAGGGACAGTATTAACACCACTCACTAAAACAGTCTTGAAGTTTGTCACATTGTGTATGCTACACAGAAGTGCATGCACAGTGACAGCACAGTTCATAATAGGGGGAGAGAATGAAGATGAATTAAGAGTGACCTTACAAACTTTTTTTTTTTTTTTTCTTGTAGGTTTGATTTTTTGTTTTATTACAAATAAAATATAAATGCTAATCTTCTTCAGGTGTACAACTCATTTAAAATCTCAAAACCACTCTACTAACAGGTCATTTTAGTAGTAAATCTTGTTAATTAGACAAATTTATTGCAGCAGTTTGTCAGTTTTCCCGTTTTAAGATAATCAGTGCTGACATATTTCAGACCTGTGCATTATAAATCCATTCTGTGTCCTATTAGCATTATGCCTCAAGAACAGATTTTTTCAAAGCGAATACTCACTGTTTTAAGGGGTAAATGAAGCAGAAACATTGCTCTGATTTACCTACACTAGGGACTTGCTTTCTTATGTTGGAGACTTTTCCCATAAAAAAAAAAAAAAAATAGTTCTTCTGCCAAAATATTAAATAGCTGTAAAATGAATCAATTTCCTTGAGTATCAGGCCCCTCAATCAGCAAGTCCTCTGTGAATTTACAGAAGTCCATCTAAACAGTCTGTTTGTAGTCTTGAATCTTCTCTTCCGTTGCTTTCTGTGGACAAACTTTAAAACCTTTATTTAAGAAGAAAGCTTTTTAGTGCCGCTACTGCACTCTGCTCTTTGAGACTTCCTTTCCATATTAACAAAATTCCTATGGGCTTTATGAAAATAAATTCTACCTGAATTACAGTCACAATAACAGTCGTGATATTAACAGTCCTTTCTATTTGTTTTTATTTTTTATTTTTTTTTTCCCTTTCCTCAGTGTTGTGGGGTTTTTGTTGGTTGGTTGGTTGGTTTTTTAAGCGTCAAGGTTTTTTTTTCCTTTTTTTTTCCTTTTTTAAGTTAGATTGCTATGTTTAAACAGTATTAAGACTAAACACAGGTAAAGGAAGGATAAAGAAACAGAACTAATATGGCAAAAGAATGAGAGTAGTAATATTCACAGAGTACTAGGTTTAATTCAAGATGGTGTACATGTGATAAAATAGTTTTTCTACCAAGGAGAAAATTATGCAGAATATAGTAATAAGTGTTACATTCTATTCTGCTTTTCTAAGGTCATGGATACTTTTAAATATTTTTACTTGAAGCTAGCTAAAAATGTTTTATTTTTTTCTTAGTGGTAGTGCTAGTAGTGGCAGCAGTAGCAGCAACAGGAGCAAGTGCAGACATACAACATTTAGTGCTCTCAGGCTGGCAACAGCCTCTGCCTTAAAGCAAGGAAAATTCTGCAGCTCATACACAACACTGGTGTTCAGCTCCTGAGCAGACCAGAGGACAACAAAGTATAGTGGTTCTGTGGCCAGAAATATCCAGTTTGAGATTCTGTAGTGATTCATAAAGCCCTGAACAGGGAAATGTGATGTGATCCCAAAGACTGCCTCCTCTTTGGGGGCCCACCTTGGTAGCCAGGAAGAGCTACACTCTACCCCATCTTCAGATGACAATATGGAAATATCTTTGTCATAGTTTTCCCCAAAGAAACAGACAAGAAGAAAATCCATCATGCCTAGAAGCCAAAGGCTAACCCAAGATAAACAGGGAAATAAGCATTAAACTTGGAATTAGAAGCATCACTTCTTAAGCGTGATGGAGAACCAGCTACCTTTTGAGAACTAGGTTGTTTTTTAGTAGTTTTGTGTAGGCTTTCCATATTGTGTTGATATGTGCATTTTAAAGAATGGCAGATTCTGCTACAAGTCATGCTATTGTGATTGTATGGTCCATTAGTAGGCAACTTGCCAAGTCTGAAAATAAAATGTGTATCACTGGAAAGTTTGGACAGGGTATCAGTATTGTGTCTAGCTCTCATAATCAAAAAGTTATCAGATACACAGTTTGTCATTATTCCATAAGTAAAACAGTCTTAAAACTCAGAGCTTATAGTTTTTAAATTCTATTTTATTCTGGTCCATATTTAGGGAGAAACATTTCTGGCAGATCCTGTTCCTGGGAAAAATAAAATAATTGTTACAAATACCAAAAGTCCTTCTGAAACTGAGCTATCAGGAAGACTGAAAATGAGGTCAAAGCTTAAGAATGAAAGTGATTTTTTCTTGGTGGGGGCAAGGTTTCAGATAACACTTTTATATCTGGTTCTGTAATGTACCTATAGAGATAATAATAAATGTAGCAAAACAATACATGAGGCAAATTTTCCTTGTACTGATGTTAAAAATAATGTGTTTAAAAGTGAATTTCATTATTTACGTGTACACTGTATTGTTGAAAAAACAGTTATGAAGAAAAATTACAGACCAAAAATCACTATGAGGAAATTGTATATTTAGTGAAAGAAAAAAATAACTTCAAGGAAAAATTACAACATGAAGCCAGCAACAAACTCACTGGTATTAAGCAATCCTCCTCCTGTCCACCTGACAAAAGGGCTAGGGGACTACAACACTGTTAGCAACATTTTGTTCTGATTTAGATTACTTTCTTTGAGAGCTTGACATGGGTTCCTTTTTCTAAAAGTTAATTATTGACACAAGACACTAAAGTTACTCTTAATTATGGGAAAAAGTTTCAAATAAGAAAACAAAATGTCATCAGTTCTTGTTCTTGTCTAATTCGTTCAGTGTTGTATGCCAGGAAGATATTATGCTGTAAACTTATTTCCTTCAGGCAATGCATATATTGTTTTAATGTGCTTGAAAAAATGCAGAAATGAATTATGCATTTTTGTCTTTTGATTTT